CGATCTCCTGACCTCGTGATTTGCCCACCTCGGCCTCCCAAAGTGCTGGGATTACAGGCATGAGCCACCGTGTCCGGCCGAAATTTTTAAAACATTCAACTTAGTCGTTAAGAAAGAGTTAGCTTTAAAGCGAGTCCTCCTGAGGTCTGTCTCTCGAACAGTTTAGATTCCTCTCCTTCAGGTCACCACAAATCTGCCATCTCTCCCTGCGGTCCCTCCCTGCCATGCACCGCCCTCCTGGAGAGCTGGGTGGCCCTGGGACCTACCCTCCCAAGTGCCTTTGTGGGGCCTCATCCCGAAGCCGCCATCAATCAGGTTATCTGACATCCTTCTGCCTCCCCCTGCCCTTGGGCAAAACACCCTGGGGTGATGTTGGGGGTGATGTCCACAACACAGCGCGTTGTCCCCTACGCATCGCAGGTTTCAGGGTGCTCCATGGATGTGGCTACTTAACCTGTTAATCCGAAGGACAAGTTTGACTTGGGAAGCGCTCCCTGGCTCACTCTCCACAGGTGCTAAGTGATCTCCTCCACGGATGTGGCTTCAGATGACCCCCTGTCTATGGCTATAGCTCAGATCTGTCCCGAGCCCCTGGCGCAGGTTTTCTAAAAAGCACCTGGGTATCACAGAGCGTTCCACAACTTGGAGCTGGAGGCCATTATGCTAAGTGAAGCAACACAGGAGTGAAAAACCAAGTATCATATGTTCTCACTTATAAGTGGGAGCTAAGCTGTAAGGACACAAAGGCCTAAAAATGATATAATGGACTTTGGGGACTCAGAAGGGGGAGGGTGCGAGGGGGGTAGGGATAAAAAGTACACATTAGGTACAATGTACACTACTCGGGTGATGGGAGCACAAATCTCAGAATAAACTACTATATAATTTATCCATGTAACAAAAAGTCACTTGTGGGGCGGGGCACGGTGGCTTCATGCCTGTAATCCCAACACTTTGGGAGGCCGAGGCAGGTGGATCACCTGAGGTCAGGAGTTCGAGACCAGCCTGGCCAACATGGTGAAACCCCATCTCTACTAAAAGTACAAAAAATTAGCCAGGTGTGGTGGCGGTCGCCTGTAATCCTAGCCACTTGGGAGGCTGAGGCAGGAGAATCACTTGAACCCGGGAGGCAGAGGTGGCAGTGAGCTGAGATCACATCATTGCACTCCAGCCTGGGCAACAAGAGCGAAACTCTTATCTCCAAAATAAAAAATAAAAAATAAAAAAAGCCACCTGTACCACTCCAAAAGTTATTGAAACATAAATAAATAATAAAATACAGATATACTAATTTTTGAAACAGTGTCTCCCCCCTGGATGACGGCAGCCATGGTCTTTCTGCCTGCGGCCTCAGCATCCAGTCCCTGCCGCCAGAGTCATGTCTCCAAACTCAGACGGGCTCACCCCACCCTCCTGCTTGGCGCCTGCAGCAGCCCCCACGATCTTACCCGTCAAGCTCCACTCTGCAGTGTGGCATCCGCAGTGACAGTGTGGTCCTTGCTCACTTCCGCCAGCCTCACCTCCCGTCCCCTGCTCCATCACTCTGCTCAGGCTTCCCGGGCAGACCCTTCTGGTGTGTGTGGTCTGGGAGTCCTGTGAGGGACGCTGCTGATGTGGCCATGTTGTGGTGACCACCTCAGGGACAACCAGGGTTTTTAACAAGGGTCTTCGGGCACTGAGCAATGAAGCTTCCCTGAAAGGAGTCCAAGAGAGGTCTCACGTAGGCAACCTTGGAACACAATGAGGAGCATACAAAACGAAAACAGGATGAACAAATAGCTGTCTCCTCTGCCTCCTGGCAGGTGGCGGCCCTGAGGTCTAACTCTGGCTGGCTGGTCACTTGATTCCTACCAGTAGCACCACGAACAGCTCCCACACAGTAAACACTTAGCATACCCCAGGCACTGTGTTAGGCCATCGTCATGCACCATTTTCCTTAACCCTTACAACACCTTGGTCACCGATGAGGAAACTCAGGTCCCCACAACAACGTGGGCAAAGTCACACAGATGGTAAGTGGTGGAGGGGCTTCCACACCCAGGACTGCCTGACTCTAAGGCAATGCCCTTAACCTCCCTGCTACGCCGATGCGTTGTGGTTTTCTCTCTACCTTCTTGAGTTCACACTTCCGCAGCATCCATCCAGTTATCCCATTTGCCTGTCCTGAGGGATTACATAGTCTTCCGACACCGAGGATCACAAACTGGGAAAGATCACCGACTGCCTCCAAGCCCTGGTTCCCAGCTCCTCCTCCTCGCCTCCCATGCACACCTTTGTCTGTGGTTAAGCTGAGTCTCCCCCTTCCCCACACCATGGGGACCTCCCACAAGCATCTGACAGTCAGTCAACATTTATGACTTCCTGCAAGGGAAGCAGAAGTCACACACGAGGCACTTGTACCGTGTGGTCCTACCTAGAGCTGTTGCAAAGGCAGGAAGAGAAGGGCATGCTGCCTAATGAGAGGGAAGAACACCAGACACTCACATCTTCATCGTGTGTGAGTGTCCAGTCCCTTACCTAGAAGCTATTTTCTGGGGGTTAAAAGGGTTCTGGTCCTAATCAAACAATGCTCTCCACATTTCATAATAGGGAGCCATGATCATCCACTATTTCCATGGGCAACACTGCAGAGGAAGGCAAAAGGCTCTCATTAATTAAACTAATGAATTCATCTGCAGGAGACAGGAAGAGTAAACCACGGAAACAGAATTGACTAATTCTTCTTCCATTAAGATGCATCTACTCTGAGCCAGAATTCCAGAGCTGGTTCCCTTCCTCATCCATGATGAAGACGTTGCGTCTCATGTGGTCACAAAGGCGTGGTGTTTCCTGTGTGGAGATACCATTGCTGTTCTGCCTTTGATAAAAAATTTAAAAACATCAACAATAAAAAAAAAAAAACAGAGACAGAAATGGTAGAGGGAGGGAGGAAAATGCTGTCAGTTCCTTAATCACCAATCACCAACCTGGAGTGGCCACTGACACCTTGTCCCAGTGTGGTGGGGGTGGGGCAGGGGGGTCCCTGGGGTCCATGGTCCTGGGGTCCATTCAAAGCCTCCACCCAGAAGAGGACAAGCCAGTCTCCAGCTACACAGGTTAAAAAAAAAAAAAAAAATACTTCACACATGAATTGAACTTCTTATCTCAGTCCCGACCAGGGACGGAATCAGAATAAAGGCTTTGGTCTCACGCAGCAACCCTGTGGCCAGTCCCCGCAGTCCAGCAGGCCTGCCACTGTGCTGACCGAGGCCGTCATGCATGAAGCACGTCCGGGGCTTTATGGCTCAACACCTGAGCCTCCTGGAAGGCCTTGGCCGCCTCCCCGAAGCCCCAGCGTACTGGCTCTGCAAGGCCCTGGGGTTAAAATAGCAAAAATGCCATCTGGCAAGAGGCTGGCTTTGTTCAGACTGTGTGCTGCCTTGTTGCTGGGGTGGTGGGGACATTTTCCAAGCCACCATAACAATGTGAGCTGCCACCTGGGCCAACCCCACCCCTCCATGCCCCCAGCCCACTCGTCAGCATCCACGCAATCGTGGCAGGACCCCCTGTGGCAGCTGAGCCACCTTGGGTTTTCCTCAATTCCATCTCACTGACTTGGTGACGACAGCCCCAAAGCAGGCAGGACAAAGCCCTTCTTTCTTCCTAGAAAAGTACCTGAAATAACACGCTCATTTTTAGACTCCCAGGAGTTGGTGCTGAGGAAGGGTCCTTGGGGCTGGGACATGGAGAACAGCCACCGGTCACTGCAGACCCTTTTATCCTGGCTGCCTTTCCCCTCTATTGGCACATGTTCCTTTTCCATCAAAAAATTTAGTTACAATTTTTTTTTTTTAAATAAGAAGACCAGAAAGAACACACAGGGTTGGCTGCCTTTTATAGGACAAAACATGAACAGGGAAACAACTTGTGTGTAACATGCGCACCCAGACAGACCTTATTTCAATCATGTCCAATTTTAAAATCCAGGAACCGGCCACAGTAAGGAAAGACAGGCATGTTTCAGGCTGTCCAGCAGCTGGGCAGAAAAACGGAGACCCACTGGGCCAAACAGTGAGAGGCTCCAATTGAGCCATCCTAGTTCAGGTCTCCCTGGTGACCCCCCTCTGTGCGGGGCGGTAAGTGCATCTCTTGATATTTTTAGTTCACTGTAAAGACATGGTTTTTGCCCTCCAGGAATCAGCTAGCTATGCATGAGCGGAAACCCTGCAGGTGCCGAACGTAACTGATTGGAGTGGGGAGGAGGGGAAGGACAAAGAGTGATGGCTTCAGGTTTGGCGAGTAGTTGAGTCACATTAGAAGCAAAAAGCATCTCTGATTTGGCCAGTAGAGGTGTGCACAGTTCTGCTGTGGTTTCAATCTTACTATAGGCTACAGTCAACAGGACAGCACAAACGCTCTTTGTTGACCAGACATTCGGCCGGCTCAGAGCAAGCAGCTGGGATAGAGTCACTTAGATTTCAGCAGCAAAGCTGTGCGGGGAGGCAAGACATTGCCTAGGCTGCCTCCCAGGCCTCAGTATCACGCCTAGGAGCTGGTGGAGGAAGACACCAAGGCAGGTTTCTCGAGCCCAGTGGAAAGCTTCTTGTTCTGCCCCCAGCTCCCTCCCAACAAAACCAAAGACCATTCATGCTAAAAGGGTCACCTGGTCCAACCCTTCTGGCCACAACAGAGGAAGATGCTCTGCCGCCCTCAGTACACCAAGGGGGACACCCCTAAAGAAAGCACTAGAAGGTGGGGTACAGTGGCTCACACCTGTAATCTCAGCATTTTGGGAGGCTGAGATGGGTGAACCTCTTGAGCCCAGGAGTTTGAGACCACCCTGGGCAACATGGCGAAACCCCATCTCTACAAAAAAAAAAAAAATGCAAAAAACTAGCTGGCCATGTGTCTGTAGTCCCAGCTACCAGCTACCGGGGAAGTTGAGGTGGGAGGATCACCTGAGCCCAGGATCTTGAGGCTGCAATGAGCTGTGATTACACCATTGCACTCCAGCCTGGGTGAGACAGTGAGACCCTATCTCAAAAAAAAATTTTTTTAAGCAAGGACTAGAAGCTGCATTGCTGCCAGCACTCAAGCTTCACCCCATGAGGCCCCTCCCTGCTGCATTAGCACTGGCCCCTGCATCACATCCCCACACCATCATCCTGAGATACCCTGCCCCCAGCACCAGTGGAATGAGTTTTGCACCCCAGCACTGTGCTGGTCACTTTCATCTCTCATCCCCGTTTTACAGATGAAGGGGCTGAGGCCAAAAAAAAACACAATCACACAGCTAGGAAATAGCAGAGCTGAGCAAAGAACTCTCAATCCAGTTCCCTTGACCCTACACCACTAGTGAATCCCAGAAAGGGCAGTCAGAAAGATGATAGTTTTAGACATAGATTTAAACCCGTATCTGCCTTGCTAAACTGCATCTGCTTTGATGGTGTCTGTTAGCATTAGATCCAACAGTCTTCACATAACCAAAAACAAGTGGCTGAAACAAATTGGGATTTTTTAAAATGTAAAGGCAGTCTGGAATTAAGCAGAAAACAGCTTGTGTGGTAGTGACACCATCAATGTATAGCTCTATTTGTTGGCCCCACCATCCTTATCATGTGGCTTCCATTCTTGATGTTGCCTCACATTCCAAGATAGCTGCTGAAGCTCCCACCATTATGTATGTGTTCCAGGCAGAAAGTAACAGGAAATACCAGGAAGAGAAAATTTACCTGCCAGCTTTTAAATTCTCTTTAAAAACCTTTTCTGCAAGTCCTACCTAATGACTTTAACCTTCCACCTTACTGGTCCTGCCTTTAGCAAGAGGGCCAGGGGAATAAGGTTATGTTAACACACTCCTGCCTCAAATAAAATTGGGGTCTCATTAGTAAGGAAGAGGAGAGGATGAAGAATGAATAGGCAGCTATGAGGTAGTTGGTGGTTGGTGAGCTGCCACAGAGCTGTCCTTGGTAATGAGCTGATTGGTAATAAAGTTAGAGAGACACCACTTCCTAGCATGGAAAGGGAACAATTTGTGGAAAACATTCATATTTCAGTACCGAGATTTTATTCCAGGTTTGATGAAGTGTTTTACAAACTTTAGCAATAGCTTAGAAATGAGGTCAGAGTAGTTTAAAAATGAAAAAAAGGCACAGGCAAGTGGCATATTTCTTTCTTCTGCAATCAGCGTTAAACCTTTCATCATTAGGTGAAATCTACATTCCCTGGGCCCTTGCTACTCAAACCATGGTCCGCCTGGACCAGCAGCATCAGCATCGTCACGGAACTTGTTAGAAATGCAGACAGTCATGCCCACCCCTGACCTACAGACAGAATCTGCAGTTCACCAAGACCCCAGGGGCTCCCAGTGCACATTCAAGTTTGAGAGGCCCTGTTCCAATGCAATGCCCTAAAGAGTCTGCAATGGGACTCCACTCTCCTAAAAACCTTTTCTCAGGAAGCAGTGTGCTCTAGGAATCTTAGTCTTTGGTGAGACTCTGCATCACAGTGCCACTCTCTGAGGAGAATATATATTAAAACACTTGTAGAACTATAATACCTAGTATTTACCAACTTCTGTGCCAGACACTGGTCTAAGGATTTCATATCTGTTTCTGTAGCTCATCCTTCTACCCACTCTGTGAAGTGGGAGCTCTTACTCTCATCCCCTCCCCTGGGGTGCAGATAAGGACATGGTGCTGAGTTACCCAGCCAGCCAGCCAGCAACGGGTCCAAGCAGATTCTGCCTCTCTGGAATGTTCTGCCCAGATGGAGAGATTTTAAGGTTCAGAGAAAGATGGGTCAGTGTTTCCGAATGAGGGGGCAGCTTGGTGAAATACACTCTGGACAGGTAGCTGGGATGCCTGGGTTCCAGAGCTTGCTCAGCTACTGTGACCTTGTATAAATAACTCACTAGACCACCTGGAACCTCACTTCTCTTATCTGTATATGGGGTGATATGCAAGCTCCCCTCCAGCTCTGACATTCCTCGGGTCCGGACATGCCTTCTGTATGATCTGAAAATCAGTCAGCTTTAGCAGCTGCCTCCCCTAACTGGCTGTATTCACTCAACTGCCACCCAGTCTGGCCACAGCCCAACTTGGTCTAGGCACCTAGATGTTGGACACCCTGCGAGTAAACTATACACCCTCCTGAGCAATCAGAGACCAACACAGCTGCTGCCAGCGAAGCCCCCCAGTTGACCCAGGTGGAGGGCAAGGAGCCGGGCAAAGTCGACTTCCTGTAGACTTTCGGACTGAATTAGACTTGGTATGAAAGTTCACAAAGGAAGCACCTGGCCACGTGAATGAGTTCACCAAGGCTGCTGGTGTGATATTACCCCTCTGCCAGCCCCCACCGGAAAGGGCTGGCTGTCCACCTACAGAGTGGCTGGCAGGAACCAGAAAGAAGTGGTGCAGGAAAAGTCACTGAGACTTTTTGTTGTGAAAAAAAAAGTGAAGGCTTCTTGTTGCCCCCTGGCACTTCTGAGGGCACTTATCTGGTCAACAGATCTAAGTGGAGCAGATAGTCTTTGAGAGTCTCTTCCCAGTTCACAGTGGACCCGTCCACCAAGCCCCTTGCTCACCACTCCCTGCACTGCAGTAGACACAAGGGAGGCTCCTGGTGGCCCTGCATCTGCTGTGGGATGCCTCCACCCACTCAGCTCTACGTGAATGGCCCACAGGCAGCCCGAACCCCAGGCCAGACCACAGCCTCTTTCCCAAGGATTTAGGAACTGGGCCACGAGACTCTGTCTCCAGAGGCTGGACCTGTAACATATACATTTAGTGTCTTAGGGTGGGACATCTTCTACCAGAGCGATCCAGACTGCAGAGAGACAGACTCCAGACAGAGCCCACACACAATGTGGATCATAGATAAGAGGACGAGAGGGTCCAGGGTCTCTTTAGTCCCATCCCAGATTCCAAGCCCTCCTTCTTTAGGTTCTCAGCCTCACCCCTGCATCCTATAATAAAGTCTCCTATAAGCAAGCTTGCTTCAGAACAACTCTATTACTTGTCAGTGGAGGCGTCTTAATGCTGAACCAGGCCTTCCCATACTCAACAAATATTCATGAAGAGCCCACATGGGCTAGGAGATGTGCTTGACACTGGGGGAATGAAAAAAAAAGTACGTCGTTATTACTAATCTCAAGGAGGTCTCATAAATCTGGGATGTAAACAGATCATTCTAAACCAATGTATTAGTCTCAATGTTTGTCTTCCCCTAAAATGTGTATGCTGAAATCCTAGCCCCCAGGGTGACGGTATTTGGAGGTGGGGCCTTTGGAAGGGACGAGGTCATGGGGTGGTTCCTCATGCATGGGATTAGGACACTTAGAAGGGGCTAAAGATCAGAGTTCATTTCTTCCACCAGGACACAGCAGGAAGGCACCATCTATGAACCACAGAGAGGGCCCTCCCCAGACGCTGAATCTGCCAGTGCCTCAGGTGTGCTAAAGGCAGCCCCTGGCTTCAAGAATCTTGCATCTTAGAGGGAAACCACATGGAACACTTAATAAAAGTTCAAGACAACCGAACAAGAGACTTCCAAACAATTACTGCTAAATGAGTGGTCCCTGAAATGTCACAGAAGCTCAGAGTTAGGTAAATGAACTTTGAGCTTGGCAGTTAACAAATTTTCAGAGCAGGTAGAGCTGAGTTAGGCCTCCAAGCATAAAGTAGATTCAAATAGAGACAGTGCCCAGCCACACTCTTGCAAGTGATGCTCTTGAAAATATTAAATATCCACAGAGTTCCATGCTTCTAAAAGTGCTTTCGCAGCCAACTCATGTGATGCTCACAAGCATGCTGAGGAGGAAGGGATGTAACAGAATCGCTGTTTGATGATGGGGAAACCAAGACACAGACTAAGTGACTGGCTTGGTTCGCAAAACTAGTGAGTGGGGCAGATGCTCATGCCCCCTCCCTGATCCAAGGCTCTTCCTGTCACCTCTTCCATTAATAAAGGGAAGGGGACACAGAATCACACATCTCAGAGCAGTTCTATCCTTCCTCTGGAGCTTCTGGACAGACTCAGTCTACCTTCTTCCTGGTGTGGCAGCACAGGAGTTGAGAGTTTCTCCTAAAGACGCCTGGAACAAACCATATATCTGTTAAATACGTCCTCCCTGCATGCTTGTACACTCCGAGATGGCAGATACCGTGTCTTGTTCCGCAATGAAGCTCAGAAGCTGGCCCAGAATTAAGAGTGTATTCACATATATTTCGTGATTGAATGAAAACAAATAAAAGGACAAGTGAACCAAACAGATTGGTCAGAAGAGGGAGAAATGGGAGGTGGGATCGCAGGGCCACTGTGGTGTAGCGTGCAGCCACCTGATGTTTAGCAGTGAATCTTCCAAAGCTTCTCCTCTTTGCTGCCCCTCTCCCAAATCTTCTTAGTATTATGTCCAGAGGGCAGGCAGAAGCAGGGAAAAGAGATGCTAAAATTTCCAGCAAGTACCAGTTTGCTACTTATTAAGACTCTAGGAAAGGGTGATAGAGAACACCAGGAAGTGACTCTGTGATAAAGCCAGTGCTTAGCGTGAGCTCTGGCAGTCCCCAGTGCCTGCCGTGTAAGTTCTGGTAAATTGCAAAGGAAAATGTCAGTATTAGGTGTGAGTTGGAGGTGTGAACCTTAAGCGCTTGCTACGATACTCAATTTGGAGTTGTGCTTAGTCAGGATGAGCTTCTAGGATTCTCGTGTGTCCTCTGATGACATTGACTCCCTTTGTCATTGTCCCGGAGTAAAATCAGTCCCTGGGCGGGGGCTCCCCTTATGGGGAGTTATCACCTCATCTAGCAACTGTCTACTCACTTTTTAACGTCCCCCAGACAAGGCTGACAGAGGGACCAAAGTGGAAAAGGCGACTGGTCAGGAAAGCCGTGAAAGGTCAGCACCCCCGCCATGGTCCCCCAGAAATCACTACCGCCCTCTGTTCTCCTTTCCGCCATCCCTCACCCCTCCCTCCTACTCAAACCGGCGCCAGCTCTGGAGGAACACCAGCTGATCTAGGAGCCACAGCTTGTGCCAAGAGCCACAGGCAGTTTCACTTGGCACACAGTCTCAAGGAGAAATGGCTCTTTGTTTCCACCAACAGAGGGAATGCCATCAACTCCTGCTCCCCAAATTCCCACACTCCTTTCCCTCTCTGTCAAGGGCAGAGAAAAGCATCTTCTGGCCCTTCTAGACCCAAAACACCCAGCTAAAGACAAAAGCTGCTGACCCTATGTGACCTGGGCAGATTCACTGTCCACACCCCACACCCCTCACCAGGCTCCCCAAAGGCTGCCTTGGCTGGAGAACTTGGTATGTCACTCTGCTGCTTATGTCACAGAAAAGGAGCAGGTGCTGTCACTTGGGCCACGTGAGCCAGCGACTCATTTTAGGATCTGGTCCCGGACATCTAAGCTCTTTGCTTACCCTCCTCATCCCCACTGGCTTCCCTCCGGGTTCTTCATTTTCAGAGGGAAAACATCATAACCTTGAGTCACCATGGGGAGGTGATGACCACATGATAGGGAACTTACGCAATTCAAGAGAGGGCAAGTGCCTGTCATACCCAGAGCTACAGTGGAAGAAGGTCCTCGGAGCTCCTTCAACGGATCATATGATTTCAGTGTTGCCCCGTAATTTTGAGGCGAACTTTCCATTAACAAAGAAAGTGCCTCATTCTCATGAACCCTGACCTTATTTCCTGAAACAGCCTTGACACACAAGCCCGTGTGCACACAATCCCCTACACAATTGTACCTCTACGCAATCCACCCATTCGACTTGTCAGCAGACCAAAGCCACAGCCCCAACACATACACACTCTCCAACCTTCTTTGGCCTTCCTTTCTCCTGGCCAAGAGGACTGAGATGTTTTCTCATTCGTGTTTAAGACAAATCTCTAGAAGGGAAAGAGCAGAAACTACATGTGATCATGTTAAATTCCAGCTTTCCAAGGGCAAGGAAGAATCCCACATTTTAGCCACAATAGTTTGTGACAGGAACCGTGGGTTGAAGGAAAAATTCTGCAGTATCCTGACAAAATGTTTTGAAGAAAAGGCATATGAATGTATTTTTATCAGGAACTGCGCTCCTTACCCAAGACAGCAGGCACAAACATTTTCAAAACACTTAGCTCTCAGCGAAGTGAAATTCTGCTATGAAAGCGAAACTGGATGCTCATCCTCTCCACCACTTTCTCATGGTGGGCCTTAAAAACATCATTCCTCCAACCAGTGTTTTAATAAGGAAAAACTCTCAGACTGACTAACTTCCAGAAAATATCGCCGCCCCACACCCTAGAGCCAGAAAGGTTTTACCAAACTGGGTTTGACAGAATATACTTGCAGAATATTTATTTTTAGATCCCTTCGCAGTAGAGTAAGTCTTCCATTTCAGATCAGCTGGCCTCCAGCCAAAACAGCGAAGTCAGAGGAACTGCAGCCCCTAAGCCTTCCTGCTCCCTAAGAGTACCAGCGCTCCTGCCTGGCTCTGGCATAAATGGTTGGCGATAAGTCATTTTTTATTAAAGTTTTAACTCTAGGCAGCAATTTTGCTTTAAAAGGTTTTTCTTTGGAGTGCATTTTTATTTTAAAAAATTAAATACTCTTGGATATGTCAGTATTCAGAAGCAGCAGATTTCAACAACTTACACTTTCTCTGAACTTTTTTTCAACAGATATTTCACATAGGAGGGAGGGCCTGAATTCTCAGAATTGTACCTCTGTAACTTCATAGCTGCCCTCCTCTTTTAGGGGTTGGGTGGAAAATCCAACTCACCACTTAGGCTCTTGCAGGTCTGAAGGCTGAAGCCGTGTGAAACAAAGGGTCCCCTTTCACTCACTACTCCCAAAGCCGGGAACTAGCCAGTGAAGAGCGGCCATGCCATTTACGCGGCACAAGCTGGCCTGGGGTGATGAGCTGTTCACCTTCACTGGCCATTTCTCTCACTTCTTTAGTGTGTGGCACAGTGCTCCCTAACATCCCACATTTAATGCCCCATCAAGTAAAACAGGAGTGCAGCAAAATATCCAACAAGTACTTGCTCCTAGGAGCAATTCAAACACGTTTTGTTCAATAATGGTTTCATTCCAACTGGCCCAAAGAGAAAAAAGAGGAAGGAATTTTTTAAAGCCTGCTTAGCAAGATGAAGCCTCAGAAGGCAGTTGGCTTATCTTTAAACACGTACTGCATCAACAAAAGCCAAATCTGAGGTGTCAACAAACGGAAGTCACTCTTATTCTAGAAATAGACCTTAAAAGTAACTAGCTTGGTGCCAATTAGAGGCAGGGCAGGCTTACTTACGCACTGCTGCTTAACACACCCACTCGCCCTGACTAAACTGCTTTAAAATCGGGGAGTTATTTTCTAACAACCCTTTTGAAATGCTATTCAGAGATGAACTTTACATTTCTATGTCACTGCAAGATGCTGCTCCCCAACACAGCAACACCAGGCATTTCAATTAAATAATTTTATTGGGGGAAAAAAAAAAAAAACCACTGTGAGCACCAGAGCAAGAAAAGTGTATTATTCAATCAGTTTCCCAGATCACATGCCAAGAACACAATGCTCAGGGTGGGCCTGGCAGACGGTCCACAACCAGCAGGTGCGTTCAGCTTGAATGGACCGGGGTTCCACAGTGTTTGTGCCACAAGTCAATGGCCTTGCTCACGATCGCGTCTGAGCTGTCCTGGGGAATCTGTGGACAAGCAAACCAGTCTTTGTGAAATTGTAGTGTTGACAACTTCAGTGTCTTCCCTCATTCGCTGTGGCATAAAATTCACTACCATGGGAGTTTTCACTGTTTTTCAGAAAGTGACAGCATAAAAGGCTTGTATCACATGCTACCTGAGGACACGAAAGGGCTCCAGTGTCAGCCTGCCTGGGTTCAAATCCTGCTCTGCTCACTAACTGTGCATCCCCGGGCGGGTTACCTAAGCTACCTGGGTTTCGAATCCCCATCTCTAAAATGGGGGAAATGATAGCCCATTTGAAATGATAGCTTCACAGAGCTGTTCACAGTATGACATGAGATAACCCATGGAAAACACTTAGCACAGGCCTGGCACTGTTAGCCACTTCTGGTTATAATGATGATTATTCGTTTATTCAACACATATTGACTCAGTACTTTATTATAATTTACCAGGCCATTATTCAAATGTTCATACTATTTTAAAAATGAATAGATTTGTGATTCTGTGAAAATCATTCAGGCACAAGTCTCTTTAATCCTATTTCTTGCCTGGTAAAGGGTATTCCAAGATACATAGGGAGGGAAAAGTTAATTTCATTACCATTGCCTTTTTCAGCAATATGCCAGGTTAATACTGTATATTAATAAACCCAACTGGGATTACACCAGAGACAGTAACAGAAATGAAATGGCTTACAAAATCCTCCAAAATACAGAATCCCTTTTGAACTGACAAAAATTACTCATTGTAAAATGACAGATCTCACCTTTTCCTTTTCCTGACATGACTGATGATAGTCACATGGAGGATGAGACTCTGGTTCTAAGTGGACACATTCACAAGATGGTCTCAGACCATCATCTCCCAAAGACAGGATGCAAACTAATCCTCAGGCCAACTTCAGGCCAAACTTTTTCAGGGAAAAATGTTTCTTATAATGTAAAAATATACTGTATGATTTCTCTGGAATAATCTAATGTAACAGGAAAATCTGACTTGCTAAGGTGACTTCATTTCTAGATTCAAAATCAAATCAAATTATTATTTCTCTTAAATAATTTCTCTAAAATAATCATTATTATAATTATTCTCTGAAACAGTCTAAGGTATTATTTCTCTGAAATAATCTAATGTAGTAGGAAAATCTGACTTGCTAAGGTAACTTCATTTCCAGATTCAAAATCAAATCAAAGCACACTTACATTTTCCAGAAACTTTGTTATCTTCTCTGCACTGTTCAGTGCCATAACTTTTATTTTAAAGGTTAATAAAATTTCGACAGCTACAAAAACTAGGATCTTACAGGATCCACTCACAACTTTATCCCAAACCCTACAAAAATAAGGAGATATAATCAAATTACATGAGTTTGAGAATATGCTTAGCCTAGACATCTCAAATTACAAAATAAAATCAAATTGCTCCAATTTTATGTAAAAGTTTCAAAGAACAACTTTTATGAAATAATCATCAAAACAAGAACAAAATACAGAAGCCATTTGAAATCTATTCTAGATACAATCAGCACTAGAAGGAAAAAGGAAAGTTCACTAAAAATTACTGCTCCACTAGGCATCTACCAAAATCATATTCCCTCATGTTGTGAACCTGACGTTTTTGAGGAAGAAAAAGAAAATCCTAAACTAATGGTATATATTCTGCTAATATTCTGTAATGCTATAATTATAGCCTACTAAGGGACAACAAAAGATGTACATGAAATGAGATAAATTCAGTTTCATTGCCAGTGATTCTGGGGACAGACTCCTTAAACTTCTCTAAGGGCTTAAGGAGCCAGTTACTGATCTATAAACACTCTAAAATAATAATTCTGATCATTCCCATAACTCCTAAAAGTTGGTATTCTACTTGATACACTTAGTTACATATTATCTTACAATGTTCTCTGTGTACTGCACTATTCAGTGCCATAACTTATTTTAAAAGTTACTATTCTACTACATCACAAAGTCTTAATGGGTGGCACCTGGACTCCGAAATACCCAGACATGTCTGAAAGTGACTGGAAGAACTTGGTTTGAGTCTCAAATCTTTGACTGCCTTCAGCTTCTTTAAAGATATCATGATGAAACTAATACTCAGATTTCTGTTAGAGGAGGATTTGTCACATTTCTGGAAAAGAGGAGCTGACGCTTATATAAACTCGTGGAGACCATTTGAGGTGTGACTACTTCACAGCATCTAATGCACTGAGGGCCCTCCATTTTTCTAACTATATAGTCAAGAATAAGCATAATCATGTGCTGTTATGGTAGCTGCTGGAGGACTGAGCTTCAAATTACTGTATTGTTCTAAAGCAAATTTATACTCTGAGGGATGACTGCATGAAAGGCCAGAACTCTGCTCTAATGCCAAGCCTTCAATATGTCTTCGAAAGACATACTTGCCTCTGTAAACTGGATTCAGGCAAACATCCCGCAAAGCACCTCTTGAACCAGAGATCATAAGGAAGTCTGGGCGCCGCGGAACACATCTTCAGATGAGTCAGCAGTCTGCCATCTTCCAGATTCAAGTATTGTTCAAATGCTTTTGGCTAAAGATTAAGCAAGAACAGAGATGATTCATTTCCTGTGTCATAGCATCATCTGATATTATAGTCTCTTATGGAAACAAAAATTACATGCTGAATTCAAGGAAGTATTAGAAAACAAAACTTCAGAATTATCCAAGTCACTTGTGACACAGCAGTTTCCTAGGTCAGCCCTAACTAAAGTAACAAACCATGCAAGACTGAGGAGTTTCCCAGGACACAGGGCTCTTTCAGTGCTAAAACGGGGGCGGTCCCAGGCAAAATGGAATGGTTGGTCACCCTAATACTAACCTCACTAGCCAGATTCAACAACCTAAGGCAAAAGTCCAAAGCAAAATCCAATTGTTCTGAGGAGCTAAGGAAGGCCCATTATATTACTGGCTGGTCTAACGAGCAGTAGATTATATACTAAGGAAAAAAGGGGGAAAGAGGAAAGGTGAAACCAAAGAAATAGAGTGGGATTAGAGTGGGGAGAGGGCACTAGGAAGAATAAGACAAAAAGTGATGCTGATGAGAAGGGGCTGACCAGTCACCGACCATCCATACACTGCCCTGGATTGAGCACCACTGTGCACCAGTGCCAAGCAGGCTCCCACAACAGGGATGTCCAGAGGGTGAACTCTGTATTCAACACAAATGTGACTAAGATTTCTTAGAATTCAAGGGATAACTCAGAGGGAATAAAGCACCTGGATTCCACTTGGTAGCCTCTGTCTCATGAGGCCAGGTGGCAGCCAACACTAGAGGACTGGAGAGCTAATAAAGCCAGCTCCCCAAACCTGACCTAATCCATCTTGCATTGGCTGCTATATTTAGGGTCCACTGGCTGAGAAGGGGTCTAAGAGTCAAACCCTAAAGTCCACACTCACTATCTGCAGCAGCACAACCAGAGCCCACATCACTTAAGCAAATGTAAACGTTTATTTTACTCAATATCTATAACTCTCTGCTTCTGTCAAAGAGGAAATTCATCACCTTTACAAGGTCCACTATAGTCAGAGACTGCATTTCATACAATGAATAAAGTGAAAGGTAAGAGAAAATCCCTGCCTTCAAGGAGCTTACAGCTTGAGACATACAAGTAAAGAGGTAACTACAAAACACTGTAATACTGTGATGCTATGATGCGAACAAGCACAAGATGCTGGGTACATCCAGGAGAAAATCCTAACCTGGGCTGTAGGAAGCAGAAGCAGTTTCTCAGGAGAGGTGACATTTGAGCTGACCTCTGAAGAATGGACAGGAGTTAGCCAGGCAAAGAGAGGCCCGTATCATAATACCTGGTCCAGCTTTCCCCTTTCTTTTTCAGGATATCTCTTTTTCCTGTTTATCCAACCTCCCTATACTACTCAATGGTTCCTAGAGTTTCTCAATAACACTGCAGACAACTTCCCAAACAAGGAATTGTGGTTGGTTTTGCAAAGTGACTCGGTTGAAAACACACACACAGAGTTATATATTATGTCTCAGAGGAAAGAAAATTTCATCCAAAAGTCAGTACAAATAATAGACAAGATGGAGATGTGTGAACATTTTAAAACTATGTATTGCCTTTTTCCTTTATCAGACAATAAGCTCACGGGGGGAAGGTACTGCATCTGTTTTGTTCACTGCTGGTTCTTCAGTACCTAGCACATCACTTGGCATGGTAAGCACTCAATATATAACTGTTGAGTGAGCAAATCAATACCGTGAATCAATATAAAGTTGTGAATACATCAATCGACATCTTAACAATCGCTCAATGTACATCTTTTTGCCAATATCTAATTAATTTTTTAAACTTTTTCCTGGTTTATTATAGCCTATTATAAGAAATCTTGAAACTATATGAAAGAATAAAGAGCATATAGACATCAAGTATAATCACACTCCCAATGATAACTACTGGTAATACTTAGGTTATAGAGCATGTATCCTGCATACATACAGACACACTTCTCTTTCTTTTATTAGTTGAACTCATACTGAATACATGATTTAGTATTTTTCTGTTTGCACTCAACAAATTGTGGACATTTTCCCAGGTTAATGAATAATCTTAAAGGGTTAATATCCCTACCAAAAGAGAGCTTTTTAAAGTGGAGAAGGAAAAAAGTCAAGAACTCTATAGGAAAAAAAAAAATGCACCTGCCTCTTACCCATATAAAAACATGCTCAACCTACTTACAACAAAATAAACGCAATATAAAATTCCACTGAAGTATCACTTCCTACCTATCAGAATGGCAAAAATTCAAGACTAATGACATACCATGTTGGCAAGGCTGTAGGGAAACAATCTACTGGTTTTGAGGATGCAAAAGACTATGAGCTCTATGAAGGGGAATTTGGCAATATTTAGCAAAGCAATATATGCATTTACCCTTTGATCCAGCCAATCTATTTTTAGGGAATCCAACTCAATACACTAGCAAGCACATGAGAAGCTGCATGCACAAGTCTATTTACCAGTAACACTGTGTATAACAGCAAAAGACTGAAAACATCCCAAACAGCCAACAATAAAAGACAGGTTGAATAAACTACATTCACAATAGAACAGTATGAATATACTAACCTGAGAACATTGTGTAGGCTGGGCGTAGTGGCTCATGCCTGTAATCCCAGCACTTTGGGAGGCTGAGGTGGGTGGATCACTTGAGGTCAGGAGTTCGAGACCAGCCTGGCCAACATGGTGAAACCCCCGTCTCTACTAAAAATACAAAAATTAGCTGGCCGTGGTGGCATGTGCCAGTGATTCCAGCTACTTGGGAGGCTGAGGCAGGAGAATCACTTGAACCTGGGAGGCAGAGGTTGCAGTGAGCCGAGATTACACCACTGCACTTCAGCCTAGGTGACAGAGTGAGACTCCGTCTCAAAAAAAAAAAAAAAGAATATTGTGTAAGAATGTACACAGGACAGTAGTATGAAATCATGACAGGAATAAGGAGTATCTCTGTATACTAATATGGCATGATCTCCAGCATATAGCAGGTAAAAAGAACAAGATGGGAAGAATGTGTACTGTATGCTACTGCTTCATCTAAGAAAGAAGGTAAATTCAAATACATACGTGTATATATGTTTTTTAATGGAAGGAGCTAATATTTATATTGCCTGACCTTTTTCATACTTAGCAAATGATAGATACCATAGATGTGATTTATAATAGATAGATGTAATTTATTATAACCATAATTATGTTTTACTTCTAAACATTTAGGTTATTTTCAGTATTTCTATGACCCCCATATTCTTACTTTATGAAGACAATAAACTACACATCATCAACAGAAGGAAAAACGTGACAAAAATAGGTACTTAATCACTCTGAGAGGAATTTATATCAAACTTAGGAAGAAGCTGCTAATAGTGAATATTAAAAAAACCTCTTTAGCAGAGCTTTAAAAAACTGTGTCTATAGCAATAAAACAAAGATCACGTACGTTAATGATTAACACAATTAAGTTTGAGATGGTTTAATAGAAACCTTCCATGCCACACAATTGAAGTTGGCCTCTATTCTCCTTGACAAAGAGAGACCTTGTCAAAAAAGCAGAATTCAGTATGAAAAGTTTGTAAGGAGAGAGGCTATGATGCAATCCTCGGAATCAGAATAGTATGGCAGAATAAACACATCATCACTCAGGGGTATCCTTATCTTCTTCTGAGCCTATCATTGTCCACCATACACACATTTCCATACTAAGCAGCAACCTAAACTGTGTGTTGTAAGATAGACTAAAGACAGTTTCACTAGAGAGAAAAGTTTAAGCAAATCACTTGATGCCTAAATCAAACAGCAAGTGACACAAAGGAAATTTAAGTTTTTTATACATTCTGGATGACTTTTTTTAAAACTTCATAACTACTTAAAACTACGTGCTAGACACTGTAATGCATACACCAAAAGAAGCCCCATTTTTAAAGATGAGGAAACTAAGGTTTAAGGGATATGAAGTATCTTGCTGATTCTAAAATTCATTTCTGAAAAGAAAAAGGCAAGTTCAAGAACAGCTAAGATATTTTTTAAAAAGAGCAACAATAAGAGACTTTCCTTATCAGCTATCAAAATACGCTAGAAAGTTGTACTAAATAAATCACGTGATATTGGCCCAGGAATAGACAAATAACTCAATGGAATAAAAAGGAGTCCAGAAAGAGACATAAATATATATGTGTGTGTGTGTGTGTATATATATACATATGGAAATATATATGGAAATCCAGTATATGATAAGGTGGCATTTCAAATCTGTGGAAAAAGGATGAACTCACAAATTCACAGTGTAAGTGCTGTTCTACTGCTTACTGACTGAGACCTTGGTCTTACTTAACTTCTCTGTGCTTCAGTTTCCTCATCTGTAAAAACAAAGATAATATGCTTGAATGAAGCAGCTCACTAACAATATAAATTTAGCACTGCCTGATATGAAGTACATTCTCAGTAACACATAAACCAGAGGGGAGAAGAAGAGGAGGAGGAGGAGTGATGTGTTGGTAGAAGTAGTGGTGTTGCAGGTGAGTGTAAGAGTGAAATCCAATATGTGTCTGATGCCAATCAGAAAGATAAATCCCTGACAAAGAGCTCAATTTAAAATGTTTAAGCATTTTTAAAAGTTAGGAAAAAACAGGCCGGGTGCAGTGGCTCACGCCTGTAATCTCAGCACTTTGGGAGGCCGAGGCGGGGTGGATCACCTGAGGTCAGGAGTTTGAGACCAGCCTGGCCAAGATAGGGAAATCCTGTCTCTACTAATAATACAAAAATTAGCCAGGCATGGTGCCACACACGTGCCTATAGTCCCAGCTACTCAGGAGGCTGAGGCAGGAGAATCCCTTGAACCCAAGAGGCGGAGGATGAAGTGAGCCGAGATCATACCACTGCACTCCAGCCTGGGTGACAGAGCAAGACTCCATCTTAGAAAAAAAAAAAAAAGGGAGAAAAAAAAAAATATATATATATATATTTAATCTTGGGGTTGAAAAGCGTTAATTAACCAGTAAGACACAAAAAAGCAAAAAAAAAAAAATGTTGACCAATCTCATTGTATCAAAACCTAAAATTTTGTACAACAAACAGAAAGTATTTTCAACAAACATAAGGGATAAGGATAAATATCCAGGGTACAGTCAACCCTCGTATCCATTGACTCAACCAACCATGGGCCAAAAATATTTGGGAAATAAAAAATGGATAGTTGTGTCTGTACCGAACAAAGATTTTTTTGTCATTATTCCCTAAATAATACAGTATAACAATTTACATAGCATTTACATTGCATTATGTATTATAAGTAATCTAGATTTAAAGTATACAAGAAGAAATGTGTAGGTTATATGCAAATACTATGCCATTTTATGTAAGGGACTTGAACACCCATGAATTTTACTATTTCAAGAAGTCCTAGAACTAATCCCCTACAGACCCAAGAGTGACTATATACCAATAACTCTTACAAAGAAAAATGTCAACAAAACAATAGCAATATGCAAACATAACTTCACTAGAAACTGAGGACAGGTAAATTAAAATGAGATACCATTTCACCATCAGATGGAGAAAAATGTAAGACATTGATACTATCACATATTGGCAATGGGGTGGAAAATGGGAAATCTCATCATCTGTTTGGTGGGAGCATAAATTGATATGGCCTTTGGATGAGCAGTCAGGCAGTTTAAATTTTAAATACGACAAAAATAAATGAATAGATTTTACATATGTCTCCCCTCCGCTTGAGCATCTGCTTCTGCTCATAGGTACCACGCCTAAAGAGATACGCGTACACACAGGGAGCCTGTACAAGGGCATGCTTACTCTCAGCATGGATCTCTTATGTTTAAATACGGGAAATTCGTAACAGGAAATGCTAGGAGTAAATATTTTTTAATTGGTGGTTTTAAACCAGTGCCTCCTTTCTATCTTTAGCTACACTTCAGAACTGCCTGGAGCTTTTAAGAATTTAGAATTCCAGGGCCCTACCTTCAGAGATTCAGGTTTCACTTGTCTAGGTGGAGGAAAGGTGATGGTAATTTTTAAAAGCTCCCAGGTGGTACTAATAGGAAGTCAGGACTGAAAACTAGTGATTCGTCTATACTGCCTTGGAAAGTTCTCCAAGGCAATAAGTTAAAAACAAAAATAGAACCATAGGGCCATATGTACAGTATACTACTACTTAATGTGAATAATCCCAGCACTTTGGGAGGCCGAGGCGGGTGGATCACGAGGTCAGGAGATCGAGACCATCCTGGCTAACATGGTGAAACCCTATCTCTATTAAAAATACAAAAAATTAGCCAGGCATGGTGGTGGGAGCCTGTAGTCCCAGCTACTCGGGAGGCTGAGGCAAGAGAATGGCGTGAACCCGTGAGCCGAGATCACACCACTGCACTCCCGCCTTGGTGACAGAGCTAGACTCCAACTCAAAAAAAAAAAAAAAAAAAAAAAGAAAAAGAAAAATCATATATACATGCACATAAGAGAATCTTGAATAATACACACCAAGCTAATGACAAATGTTTACTTCTTAGAAGGGGAAGTGGGCAATTGCAGGGATGGGGTGGTTAGTCCAGGTCTAGGGAAATATGGATTCATCTGAATTGTTTAATTTCTTTTGAGAATGCATTCACTGCTTATGTTACGAAAAATAAAGGATGAATTTTTAAAGAATAGCATAAACTATCAAAATGCTACTTACTCAAATATTAAATAAGAAAAGCTAATTAGATCATGGTATGATAAAAATTAAAACCTCCTCACTTAATTAGGCAACTGACGTTTTACGTAAGCTCCATTTCCATGCTTAAATTATTTTTACTGAAATCAACAAAGTGGATCAAATTTCAAAATCTTAAAAATCAAATTTTGCTTAGTTGAAATATATAAAAACTGCTCTTGTAAGTGTTCTCAGAAGCTGAAGGGTCTTGCACATTGCCTTATTAATAATTAACTGCAGTGATCCTCACTGCCCATTCAACCATCATCACTGCCCCGCATCTGATCTTGCACCCTATACCACAGTTACCACTTTCAGTAGAATTTTAAAAAGAAATAACCCAATGATTTAAGACAAACAGATTTATTTTTATAAATGAAATAAATAAGAGGAAAAAACCTAGGAAAAAAAAAAAAGAAAATGGCAAAGGAAGACTAGCTTGTGCAATGCAGCAAGCACCATTCAGTTCTCTGCCTTTCCAAGCAAGGCTATGACAGAAACAGCTCGCTGCCTGCCACACTCCCATGTGCCCCTCCTATGTCACTCACAGAGCCCGTGTTTTAGTAGATCACATGGCTTTTTTTAAAAAAGAACACCTTTCCCAGCCTCTACTGTAGACAGGGCAGCCAAGTGACACAGTCCTGGTCACTAACATATAGTTGACCCTTGAGCAACACGGGTTTGAATCGCAAAGGTCCCCTTAAACATGGATTTTTTGCCAGCCCCTGAGACAGCAAGACCATCCTTCTCTCCCTCCTCCCACTCAGCCTACTCTACGTGAAGACAAAGAGAATGAAGACTTTGTGATGACCCATTTCCACTTCATAAATAGAAAATATATTTCATTTTCCTTATGATTTTCTTAACATTTTCTCTTCTCTAGCTTACTTCATTACAGGAATATAGTGAATACACATATAACAAAACATGTGGCTGGGTGTGGTGGCTCATGCCTGTAAATCCCAGCACTTTGGGAGGCCAAGGTGGGTGGATCACTTGAGGTCAGGAGTTCGAGACCAGCCTGACCAACATAATGAAACCCTGTCTGTACGAAAAAAGATACAAAAATTAGCCAGGCATGGTGGCAGGCACCTGTAATCCCAGTTACTTGGCAGGCTAAGGCAGGAGAATCATTTGAACCCAGGAGGCAGAGGTTGCAGTGAGCCGAGATCACGCCATTGCACTCCAGCCTGGGCGACAGCATGAGACTCCATCTTAAAAAAACACAAACGGAAACAAAATATGTGTACAAAATATGTGTTAAATGACTGTCTATGTTATCAGTAAGGTTTCCAGTCAACAGTAAGTTATTAGTAGTTAGGTTTTGCGGGAGTCAAAAGTTATATGCAGGGTATCAACTCTGCTGGGGTTGGGTCAGTTCTCTTAACCCTCCACTACTCAAAGGTCAGCTGTACATGCAGAGGGAAAGCCTAATGGGCCACAGACTTGGCTGGCCTGCCCCTCTTATTCCTTTGTGTTTCCCTTTGCCTTCCCTTTCCTTCTGCCCAGAACACAGATGTCATGGCCACTGGTCCAAGAGCCACCTTGTGAGCAGGAGGGGAAAGATCATGCCTATGAATACTGGAGCAGAATGGCAGGAGTCTGCAGCCCTCTCCATACTGTGGTTCTGCAGCACCAGCTCTGCACTGCCTGGATTCTTAGCTTCTGGTATTTGGGCTTCCCATTATATGCAGCCAAATGAAAACCTTAACGTATACAGATGGATTACTCTAGACCAGCGGATTCTAGACCAGAATAAGGAATACTATAGAGCAGGACTGGCCACCTATGGCCTGCAGCAGGGCAAATCCAGCCAGGAACATTATTTTATGCATTGTCTAAGGTTGCTCTTGTGCAACAACAGCAGAGTTGAGTAGTTACAATAGAGACCATCTGGCCCACCAAGCTGGAAGTATTTAGATTATACGGCCTTTTACAGAAAACACTTGCTGAGTCCTACTGTAAAGGGTTATTCATAATTGTAGCAGCCTCAGGAGGTAAGAGCACTCCCTGAAGACCCCCAATACCATTGTTCACTCTCCAATAGCCTAAAAAAAAAAAAGTCCTCACCAACTGGGGTAAAGAATCCCGGTACTTGGTATTTAATTGGTTCACAAAGCGTCGGGTGATCCAGTAACAGTCGACGCTGTCTTCCACCATTTCCTCCATGGCTTTAGCTATAGCAAGAAATACTTCATCTTCTGGCTCCTGAAAGATTAATAATACATCTCAAGAGGAAGGCAGTGAAAGAGAGGAATACATGTTTCTTTAATAAAAAATGAAACCTTGCTCCCTAAATTTTGAAAAGGCTACATTAATAAATCAAAGTAGGATCAAAAAGCACAGAGTCCATCCCTGAAGAGGGGAGCAAGGGGGAGAAAAGGATGAGTAACTACAGGGTCAGTGTTGCTTATGAATGACCAGGTTTCAGGCTGAGTGTACAGAGATGCTCCAGCTTCTAACATTAAGCCCCTCACAGAGTCAACATAAATGATAAGCAAGTCACTGACTCTCTCCACCCAAAAATATCCTCAGTACTAGGTGAGAATGTCTTTGAAAAGAGTGTAACAAACAGCACCATCAGTAATTGGAAACATCTTTCAGCACAGTAATTTGCAAATACTGAAGAGCTCCAAAAAAGACTAATAAAGCATTTGCTTTATTTCAAAGCATTCACGCATACCTTCAGAATTTTGTTTCATCTTAAGCAGTAAAAAAGTTAGAATGTTCCTAGAATCAGAATTTTGGGAATCAAAAGAATGGCATTTCTCAAACCTTGTGTCAATACTCAGAATGCGAAAGTAAACTCTCAGAGAAATTTCAACAGAGAGATCTTAGAAAAACTGGGACCTTATTTGAAAACCTCTTCTGTTTTCAAACACCATATCTTATACAAAAAGCTTTACATTTTCATCTAGGATTTAATAGCTGAAGGATTTTAATGTTAAAAAGAAACTAAGAAGTATCACAGTTTCCCCTAAAATGTACCAACTTAAATCAAAATTGTCATTTTAATGTATTATTTCGTTCTAAGCCCTTCTTTCAACTTGTTAACATTCTATAAAATGTCAAGAAAAACAGAATTTAAATCATAGGGAATAAATTTTCTCTAAGCATTTTATTAATGTGTCAGAGGAGAATGGAAAATAAGTAGGAAGAAAAGGGAAAGGAAAAATCTCCTTTCCTGGACTCCCGTGCAGTTCTGTGCACTGTGCTTGGCACCCACAAAGGTGGCATATCACTGACTGCTCCTGACCACTGACAGGTCAAGAGAAGAGGACCCAGGTCATCCTTCCTGGCCCTGTGCCGAGCGCTGCTGCACCCTCTTATTAATGAATTAAAAAATGAGGCAGAGTGGGCACTAAGTAGGTGCTATGGTTCAAACATCTGTCTCCTCCAAAATTTACGTTGAAATTTAATCCCCAATGTGGCAGTATTGAGAAGTGGGGCCTTTAAGAGGTGACTGGATCATCAGGGCTCCGCCCTCATCAGTGGGTCAATTCATAGATTAATGGGTTATCACAGGAATGGGACTAGTGGCTTCCTAAGAAGAAGAGAGTCCTGGGTGAGCATGTTGGCACGTTCAGCCCCCTCGCCATGCGATAACCTGTGCCACCTCAGGACCCTGCAGAGAGTCCTCATCAGCAAGAAGGCCCTCACCAGATGTAGCCCCTGAATCCTGGACTTCCCAGCTTCTAGAATTGTAAGAAATAAATTTCTTTTTAAAATAAATTATCCAATTTCAGGTATTCTGTTATAAGCAACCAAAAACAGACTAACACAATGAGGACCATGACTGGGGAGACGTGGGGTGGCAGAGTCCAAAACACTCACTCAGAAGCGTGTCTGCCTGAGGCTGCAGTAAAGGTGTCTCAGCTTGGAACACAGACAAGCTGAGTAGCGTTGAGGGGGAACCTATACCCTGTCATCTCAATTCCTTGAACTAACAGATGATCTAATTTAATTTGATATATAATTTAAGAACTTGTGTAGTACTATCAACTTCCCTTTGCCAATAAGTGAAATTTAAAGATGATTGCTTAAATTATTCCAATTATTTTTTAGGGACCTTCTCTCTCTTGATAAACATAATAAATACAAATGATCTTTATTAGCTCTAAGGTTTGTCCATGGATACCCCATCATTAACTTCAAAAAATATAAGCTATGCAATAAAAATAAATTTTGTAAAATAGGAGTGTTTCAGCAAATCCATTTGAACAATTCACTGTTTTAGCCAAACAAACAACACTTTAATTTCATACTGATAGAAATAAAGAAGGAGAAGGGAAAACTCTTCCTTAGAGAAGAATGCCAACTAATACATGCAAAAAGAATGAGGGAGTTAGATCACCATTTGGCAACCAGCATGGTAAAAACTGGCTCAGGCAAGAATAAGAACCATTAGTGGATGGCTATTTACAAGTCTCAAAGTACTTCCCCACAGTTACTTATTAATTACAAAGAGGAAAATAGTAACCTTACAGTGGAGAAACTCCGCAGACACCATCTTACCCCAGTGATCACAGTCAGCAGCAACAGTAATGACTCCCATACTTCTGTAGTATTCCTGCCAATAATGCGCGACCAGAGTTTAATCATGGAGAAACATGAGACAAACCCAAACTGAGAAATGCTCTACTGGCCAGGGCTCTTCAAACGTGTCAAGGTCATGAAAGACAAAGACTGAAGAACTGTTCCAAGCCGGGCACAGTGGCTCACGCCTTAATCCCAGTACTTTGGGAAGCCAAGGCGGGTGAATCACCTGAGGTCAGGAGTTCGAAACGAGCCTGAACATGGAGAAATCCCGTCTCCACTAAAAATACAAAAATTAACCGGGTGTGGTGGTGTGCGCCTGTAATCCCAGCTACTCCGGAGGCTGAGGCACAAGAATCGCTTGCAACCAGGAGGCAGAGGTTGTGGTGAGCCGAGATCGCACCATTGCACTCCAGCCTGACAAAAAGAGTAAAACTCCGTCTCAAAAAAAAAAAAAAGAACTGTTCCAGATTAAAGACTAAGACGTGGCAGCTAAATGTAATGTGTGATCTGGAACTGGATCTTGGATCAGAAGAAGAGCATCAGTGGGACATCAGCAAAATCCCAATGAGGCCTACAGAGAAGCTCCCAGTATTGTGACTCTGTGGTTTTGATCATTACATTATGGTTGTATGAGATGTAACATTTGAGGACACTGGGAGAAGGTATTTGAGAACACTTTACTATTTTTGCAACTTTTTTCTACATCCAACATTATTTTAAAAGTTAAAAAATAAAACTTTTTTAGAAATAGTCAAGTGAGAATACTCATGAGCAAAAGTTCAATAAGGAATAGGATACTTACATAGTGGTTTTCAAGTGTCTCCCCACAAAGAGAAACAGTAATTAAAAAGGGAAAAATAAACAATTTCCAGTGGAAAACTCCAGCAGGCACCACCCTCGCCAAGTGATCCAAGTTAACACTACCTCTTATGGGGCAAATCCACACTATGTGCCTCCTGATAAGAGTCACAGAAAAGGAGATAGCATCACCCACCTGGTATCCCCACCAAAAATGAATAACCTGAATCTAATCAGGAGGGAGCATCAGACAAACCTAAATTGAGGGACTTTCTTCAAAGCATCTGATTATGCCCTCGAAAAATGTCCAAGCCATGAAAGATTAAAACAAGACAGAACTGTCCCAAGTCAAAGGAGACTAAAGCAACATGATTACCCAGTGCAAAGCCTAAACCAGGATCCAATCCTCACCCAGAACTTGGACTGCTTGCTTATTTGAGAAGGCATTATTGGTCAAATTCAAATGGAGTTGGTAGATGAGATGTTACTATTGTATCAATGTTAATGTCTTAGTTTTGAGGACTGTACTATGGCTATCTACAGGGGTGTCCTGTCTTTAGGAAGTGTACACTGAAGGAATCTGAGGTAGTAGGGAACCCTGTCTGCATCTTATTCTCAAATGATTTAGGAAAAAAAAAATGTGTTTAAAAAATACGTCTTAAAATGACAAAGCAAAACAGATGCACATAATGTTAACAACTGGAGAATCTGAGTAAAGGGTATATGCAAATTCTTCGTAGTATTCTTGCAACTTTTCTAGAACTCTGAAATTACTTCAAAATAAAACGTATTTTAAGAAAACAAAAAAAAAGAAGGTTGGGTCAGAATGTGCATGGCCATGAATGCCAAGTAAAGACGTGTCACTTTCATACTAATAACAATAGGGAGCCACCGAAAGGTTTTAAGGCAAAGCATGATGTAATCAAAGGCTGGCAAGATGGAACAGTCTAGAGTTGAGTTTAGTGTCAGACAAAAGCGACCACTAACCAGTGGAAAAGAGGGACTTCGAGGTAACTTCCCAGACTCCAGCTGATACATGCGGAGATAGACTTCAGCCTGAGGTGTGGCATCACTAACAAAGCGAACGACTTTCAGGGCATGAAGGACATCCGAGTACTGCTCCTTACGATACATCATCACCTTGGCATGGGACTCATGGTGTGGAGGCAGTATTCCTAGAGAGAATAGGAAAAATGAAAAAAGGACAAAATACTGAGCCATCACTCCAAATCCCTCATCTATGAAAGAGGATGCTGTGGGAAGCGACCCAACACAGTTAGGCTAGAATTCACACAGATATTTAAGTACCATATAGAATCTCTTTTAGAAATTCTCACTATAAAACAATCTTAAATGTGAAATATTATCAATGTTTGAATGCTGAGGCATCATTGATATAAGAACACTGGCAAAGCCCTTGAATAAGTGTGCCGCATACATTCAAGATTAACAACCACATCAATTACAACAATGGTTTAATTTAATTTATGGCAGCCTCAGGCTGCCTTTAGCTCCCCAGAGGGTCTCACCCTCGTCTTTGTACTTGACCCCTACATCTCAGAACCACCAACAGCCCATTGAATTCTTCTCTTCCCCAACAGTTAAAACTTGCTCACTAAGTATCCTATCCTCCAGGTCACAAATGACCTTAAGCTTCATTGGTGAGGCCACCTTACATGACATTTCTATGACACATTAAGCTCATTCACCCATTTAAACATGGTGTCATATCTTTTTTACAAACAAATGGCTCTGAGAAAACATAGTGGAAAGACCACTAGCCAGGCCAGCCATCCGGGTTCTAGCCTCAGACTGGATAATACTAGGACTCTCAAATGTGTCTGTCTTTCTGGGCATTTGTTTCCCCATCTGTCAGAGGCAGGAAACGGGACAAGCATTTCACCAAATGCTTCTCCACAGAACGCTAACCCCAAGAGAAAACAAAATGCCATCATCAAACAGATTTGGGAAATGGTGACAATGAATTTTCATGGCTCTAAGTTTTGCCATAAAGAAAAACATTTTAGGCCAGGTATGGTCGCTCATGCCTATAATTCCAGCACCTTGAGAGGCCAAGGCAGGCAGATCACTTGAGCCCAGGAGTTTGAGACCAGCCTGAGCAACTGAGTGAAGGTATCTGAGAAACCCTGTCTCTACAGAAAAATTAGCCAGGTCCGGTGGCACATGCCTGTAGTCCCAGCTACCCGGGAGGCTGACGTGGGAGGATCACCTGAGCCTGGGAAGTCGAGGCCATAGTGAGCTGTGATCGTACCACTGCACTCCAGCCTGGGAAACAGAGTAAGACCCTGTCTCAAAGAAAACAAAACAAAACAAAACAAAACAAAACAAAACAAAAAAACATTTTATTTACTCGAGCCTCATTAAACTTAATGAGGCTCCACAGAAGCACAGACTCTGGAGCAAAGTTGCTGGGTTTAAATTCCAGCTCTACAATTAACTGGCTGGGTGGTGAGCTCTAGCAATCGCTTTATCTCCCTATGTCTTAGCTTCCCCATCTGAGAAACGGGAATAACAATACCTAATATCATATAGTTGTTGAGATGAATAAACAGATCAATATACACAAAGCATTCAGGAGAGTACTCGGCAAACACTAAGCTAGTGTAAGTGTGAGCTAGTACATTTGACTATGAATCCCTCTTTGGTGCAAAATGCCACAGGTTTAGTATTCTAAAGAATACCCCAGAAAACAAAAACAATAGTAGCTAATATGATACCATGTTAATGTTAGAAAAAAAACTTGCTTAAATGTTCTTTTCCCTGAAATAAATCTTTAACTCATCATTGCTATGAGACTGTGAGCCAGGCTTCCAGAAAAGCCAAGGGAACATGCTAAAGAGTCTCCTACATCTCGACTAATACAGATTAAACAGCTGTGACCGAACCCTCATCACACTTGTAGAGGCAGCACGTTAACCCTTAAACCTGTATTCTAAGAGCTGGTCCTAAAAAGCCTCTTTCTGATATTTAACTAAAATAGTATCAGGAAGTAGGCATTTGAAGTAAAGACCCCTAAATAATCAAAACTCTGGGCTAGGCAGAGTCAGGCTGTGTCCTACACAGCGCGGCAGGCTCTAAACTTCCAGTGCCTTTTCCTCAAAAAATAACTATGACATGATAAAGGAAGGTGGGCTGGGTGCGGTGGCTCACGCCTGTAATCCCAGCACTTTGGGAGGCCAAGGCGGGTGGACTGCCTGAGCTCAGGAGTTCGTGACCGGCCTGGGCAACATGGTGAAACCCCATCTCTACCAAAATACAAAAAATTAGCCGGGCATGGTAGTGCGCACCTGTAGTCCCAGCTACTCGGGAGGCTGAGGCAGGAGAATCACAATCTATCTTACCTTCAAATGAGTTTCACAAACGTAAGCTCAAATCCTAGCTCTGCCATTTACAGGCTATAATGCCTTAGGCAAGTTATTTAGCCTCAGAGGGTCTTTTTCCCCACCTGCAAAATTAGGATACCAATACCTGCCTCACAGGGGATTCTAGGATTACTCTGTACAATCTGTGTAAATGACTCAGACTACTGATAGGCACACAGGGATGCCCAATAAGGAGCAATCATAGTTTATATTCTTCAAGGAATTTAGTCCTCACCACTATCTTACAGTTAACAAACTGTAAGATTTTTTTTTTTGGAGACGGAGTCTTGCTCTGTTCCCAGGCTAGAGTGCAGCGGTGCCATCTTGTCTCACTGCAACCTCCGCCTCCTGGCTTCAAGAGATTCTCCTGCCTCAGCCTCCTGAGTAGCTGATACTACAGGTGCACGCCACCACGCCCAGCTACTTTTTTGTATTTTTAGTAGAAAGGGGGTTTCACCATGTTGGCCAGGATGGTCTCAATCTCCCAACCTCGTGATCTGCCCTCCTTGGCCTCCCAGAGTGCTGGGATTACAGGTGTGAGCCACCGCACCCAGCCAAAAATACTTTTTTTTTTGGCTGGTAAGGATAGGAATTATATGCTCCAGCAGGCTCAGCAATGGTAGGGGAAAGAATATCTTGGGCTCAGAAGGGATGCTGCCAGTTACTCATGGCACTTAATTCATGTTTTCCTCCATAGAAACTAAGTAAGATCAGTTTTCCTTCTCATCCAGCCACTCACACTGCTGGAATTCAGTCATTCACACTTCTAGGGAGTATTAAGTCTCCAATTCCTCTTTGACTCATTAGGAAGTTATACCTCTATAGCTGAGAATCACAAAATATTACAAACTTAAAGCTAAAAACTAGGAGTAATTTAGCTCAAAAGCCTCAGTTTATAGATGCAAAAAATGAGTCCCAGAGGGCTCGCCTTCCTCCAGGTCACTCAGCTGATAGCAAAGACTAAACCAATTCTCATTCCTCCTAGTCCAGTGCTCTTCCCAGATCTTGTCTCAGGAACATACACTATTTTCTCTTCTATAGTATCATTAATAGAACAGAAAATAATGAGCGGTAATTGAACCTCCTGGGGAAGATCCAACATTCAATAAAAGGCCTAAACAAATTTTCCTTTTTCTGACTGATAAGATAGCAAATGATCCCATTATTCAATATTTTTGAAGATAAATCTTCCAACTCCTGGGTCTCATACCTAAAAGCACCTTCCATACCAATGCACGGTACATGGACGGGAGAGGGAACCTCTGACTAAAAGTACAAAGTTTCTCTGTATCTAGAGGAAGAAGAAAACAATTGTTAGAAGCTTTTCATGCTGATCACAGTATGTCAAAGCACATTTCATTTTTTAAAACTGAAAGAATAGTTAAGATATTTCTTCAGGGGATGTCTACCATATGGTCAGTAAGTTTAGAAGAAGTAATACTAGTCTGATTTCTAGCCCAAGACTTCTGCCAACTAAGTTATTTAAAAACAATTTGCGGCCAGGCGCAGTGGCTCACACCTGTAATCTCAGCACTTTGGGAGGCTGAGGCGGGCAAATCACTAGAGGTCAGGAGTTTGGGACCAGCCTGGCCAACATGGCGAAACACCATCTCTACTAAAAATACGAAAATTGGCCAGGTATGGTGGCACACACCTGTAGTCCCAGCTAGTCAGGAGGCTGAGACAGAAGAAACACCTGAACCCAGCAGGCAGAAGTTGTAGTGAGCCAAGATCATGCCACTGCACTCCAGCCTGGGCAACAGAGTGAGACGCTGTCTTAAAAAATAATAATAAAAATTAAAACAATCTGCATTTTATAGCATTGGAGATGCATTGTGCATATATTACTACATTCCCTATAACAGTGGTAGTTATTAATTACAGGGTTATTTCATTTAATTCACATTGCAAGCCTGTTAGGTAGTTCTTGTTCTAAAAATGCAGAAACTGAAGTTCAAAGCAGTTAAATGATTTGATCAAACTAACACAGCTAGTAAGCGGTGCAGTCCACCTTCAAAACTCTACATTTTCCAGTAAATTACAGTTAGTTCCCTGACCCTCAATTCTTCTACTTCCCAAAGGAGAATACCAGACATACTGAAGCAAAGACTGTACAGTTGAAGATCAAAGATAAGGTGAGAAGTGTTTCAGAAACTTTAAAAGTACTCTATGCAAATAAAGTATTATCTTTAAATATGGTTCAGTTTATTTTACTTTAGTCAACAACAGACCTTATTCAGATTGGCTTAAAATAAACTAAAATGTCAATATACAATGCACTCTTAGTATTTCCATAGAAGAAAATCATGGGCTGAGCATGGTAACTAATGCCTGTAATCCCAGCACTTTGGGAGGTCGAGGTGGGTGGATCACTTGAGGTCAGGAGTTTGAGACCAGCCTGGCCAACATGGTGACTGTCTCTACTAAAAACACAAAAAATAGCTAGGAATGGTGGCGCATGCCTGTAGTCCCAGCTACTTAGGAGGCTGAGGCAGGAGAATCGCTTGAACCCAGGAAGCGCAGGTTGCAGTGAGCCCAGATCGCACCACTGCACTACAGCCTGGGCAACAGAGTCAGACTCGGTCTCAAAAAAAAGAAGAAAAAAATCATGACCAGAGTTATTGCAAATTTACCTAGATAATACATGAAAACATATAGGTTCAATTAAAGAAAAATATTAACGACTTTCTTAAGAAACCTTTCAAAAACTTCTGACCCTCAGTGAAATATAAATTTGAAAAATCTATAACTTTTCTCAAAATACACCATTCTGCTTCAACACATCACTAAAAAATACAACAAGCAACCAATGCTTCTGGATGTCTTTTAAGAAAATACTTACTTCAGAACATGTGGAATGACTGAGAACCAATGAGATTAATTTTAAAAAGCACTCACCCAGACGGTCATCTTTTAGGAGAATTTCTAATGATTTCTTTTCTTCAACTCCACGAAACCCCACTTTCTCATAATATACTGAACGAAAGTTTCTCTGAGAGTCGTCAGTCATATTTCATTCTTGGAGGAGACACAGAAAGAGAGAGAGACGAAGGAGAAAAGTGAATGTAGAAACAATGGGTCAAGAATTAGAATAATTTTCAATGATGTTCTCCACCTTTTCAATAAATCTGATGTACCCTTGCATAGGACCCAATATTAAAGATTTCCTTTTACTCAGTTCTACAACCATCCACCTATGCATCTTGGCCAAAAACCAAGATATACGTTAAAAGTTCTCTGAGCTGCTAAAATAGATGGCACAAGGTTTATGCACTAGGTTTCCCACTATACCTATGAGTGCCTAGCACAATAGAACATTCTGTAGTTATTATAAATGTGCAAAGAAAAAAAAATAAGTGAAATGGAAGCCAGGCAAGATATGTCAAAAAAAACTATACTCGAACAGTATACACTATGATTTCATTGTTTGTTTTTTACAAATTTCATGTATTTTAAAAATTAACACTCTATTCCAAAATGTTAGCAATGGTTATCTTTAGGTAGTAGGATTCCAGATGATTTTAATTTCCTTTCTTTAGCTTAGTTATGTTTTTTTAAATGGGCATTTTGCAAAATGAAAAATTAAGTTATATAAAAGTAAAAAGCCACGAGTTCCTCACTTTTCTTTTAAACACAATTCTATTAAGTGTAACTATCAAAATTCAAAACTTACAACAGATAAATTGCATTAAATTATAAGGAGAAGAGAGTAAAGAATGTAGCCGATTGACAGAGATCCTAAAGTCAGAGTTGAAGCCAGAAAAACGATTTAAAATCTATCGCAAGAACTCAAAAAGTTCACTGGTCTCAGGTTCCTTCACAGTAACCTTCATAATACTGGAGGTAACTCATCCAAAAAAAGACCAAATTAGATTTGGCGTTTCAAGAACAGAAAAGATGTGATGCATTTCCCAAAAAAGCACGGCACTGCCTCACGCAAATGCTTCCAGGCTCTGTGCACAAGAGTAAATCTTCAGGTTTAAACATCCTGAGACGTCCCCAGTGAGCAGGGGAGGGCTTCCTTCCTTATTGAAAAGATATCCTCTGAACCGATCCAGTCACAGGAAAGATTAGGATTCGTTTAGTAAATGAAATGCTAAAGGACTCTGAGCTTTCGGGAGCAGATGTCTTAAAAATAAAAAAGTCAGCAGCAAAAAACGCGTAATGAGTGTGGGGATTTATTTTTTTTTAGGGCATCCAAACAGTTGCATGACGATTCGGTCGGTCCCTGTTGTCTAAGGACACCCATTCTTAGATTGCACTACAATGACAAAGGCATCCTCTAGGAGGAAACATTGCAAATAAAATCTCCTGCCCATGCGCGTCCACCTGATGGGAAAAGTAAAAACACCGTGGTCCAAGACCCCAGGTCCCATTCTCTCTAGGATGGATGCTTCACCTCTAGAAGTGGAAACACGCCCGGGTTGAGACTAAGTGGTCCGGAGAAGCAGAGGAAGCCGTGCCCTGTGCGCTGACCGACCGCCGGGCAGGCGGGCACCGTTGGGGCCCAGGGCCAGGAGGGGCGAGTCCTGCGGGAAGGAGGGAGACGGCGGGACACCTGGGACACGCGAGCCCGCCCCGACGGCCCGGGTGAAAACCAGCACCGCTGCCGCCGCCGCCGGATGTGACATCAACTCCAGGTCGAGGGGCGGGCACCGGGCTGGCGCATGCGCAGAGGGCGCGCGCAGGAAGCTCCACCCTCACTCCGGGAAGCTCGGGTTTCGTTGGTGAAACTCAACGGGATAAAGGGCTAGGCTCGCCTCCAGGCCTGTGTAGTTTCTCCCACCCTAGGCACCCGGGCCCTTGCTACCCCGCAAAATCTCGCGACCATTTACTCCGGCCGTCCGAAGGCGCGTGCCTGGGTTGCACTGCCGTCTCCGGTCTTCGAGGTTCCTGCCTAGGGGAGACCCGAGTCCTAGCTAGGGCCGTACTTAAGCTGCCTGCGTGCAGGACCCGAGTTTTGCTTTTGCTGATTTCCTCCCCACCCCGGGTATGTGGGAATAAATGGAAGACCCTCTGAACGAGAAGAGCAAAGGCGTCAGCCACTGTCCCCTGCCTTTGGGGAGGGACGCAAAGGCAGACAGAGGAGTGGGGACGCTTTAGGGTGGACAGAAGGGAAGGCTTCAGGTGTGCGCAGACCGGAGTCTGGAGGCGGCTCCCTAGAAGTGGAATATCCCAGGGATTGGTTACGGGGCATAGTTGCCTTTCTCTGGTCGGTCCTAACTTGGAAGCAAGGACAAAAATTAAGAAAGCTATCAGTTATTAAGTCCTGGCCACTTGAGCCCAGTTGTTACAGAAGTTACTGTTCAGCTTCCTAGACTGTTGCTAGAGACGGCAATCTGGCTTCCTGCAAGTCTGATTTAGAGCAGGCAGGCTCCCTGGGTTGCTTATTGTAGATAACGGACTGGTTTTCCAGGCAGGTTGCTGCAGGTTGTGGATTAGAGGTCTGTTTTTATATTAGGTTTGGCCATTGTCTTAGTATATTCAGCCTCTCAGGTAAAATACTATAAAATGGGAGAATAATGAAAGTTAAAAAAAGATGTGCTAAATACAAGCTCCGATTTGTTATTAGTAGGTCTAACAGAACAAAGTTACTCTTTAAAGTAGCTACTAACGCTTACAAATGCTTGCTTTCTATTTCTATGCTTGCCTCACTGGTCCACTGGCTGAGCAGCAGTGCCCAAGTAGGTTTTTAAACCGCCAGGGTTTGAGAGAAATCCCCAGTGATGGGTATCGTCCCTTTGAAAGTCCAAATCTCTACCAAATAAACCACACAGATGCCAAGCTTTAGAGGAAACTTAGGACTATCAACAGTGTAGAAGTCCAGTTATAGTGCAGACAAATGTGTGGTATAATGGCTAGACAGAACTTAAAAATGAAGAAACGTGTGGTGGTTGAACTCAAACACTGATGCCCCTCCCCACCCCCTTACCACCACCATCTTTAGTTCCTCAGTACTGGGGTACTAAACCTTACTTGGGTAGTGTTCACATGAGTAAGCAGAGTTCTTCAAGTTACCTTACACAGGTTCCATTTACTTGATCTAAACCTTGGGCCGGTCACTAACTTTTACAATTTCCTTTTCTTGTCTTTAAAATCATCACCAGGACTGGGTGCGGTGGCTCACGCCTGTAATGCCAGCACTTTGGGAGGCTGAGGCGGGCGGATCACCTGAAGTCAGGAGCTTGAGACCAGCCTGGCCAACATGGTGAAACCCCATCTCTACTAAAAATACAAAATTAGCCGGGCGTGATGGCGCACACCTGTAATCCCAGCTACTCCAGAGGCTGAGTCAGGAGGATCACTTGAACCGAGGAGGCGGAGGTTGCAGTGAGCCGAGATGGCACCACTGCACTCCAGCCTGGGCAACAACAGCAAAATTCCGTCTCAAAAAATAATAATAGAATAAAATCATCACCAATAGTGGTGATTATATAGAAGGTGGGAAGGGTTAAATGAGAAAGTATGTAATGTACTTGGCATGGTGCCTGGCATGTGGCACAGTAGGGATATATGTGAATTGGCTGTGTCAAGATCAATTAAAAATACAAAGATGAGTCTCTAAATCATTTTATTTGGGAAAACAGAATTGCAGTTCAGGGCATACACACAGACTTGGGTGGTCTTCAGAAGAACAAAGAGATGGTTGGAGGTTTCATTAGAGAAATGTTATGTATTGCCTTGAAAGATAGCTCATTGACCCTAAGCAAAGTTTTTAGGAGCAGGCAAGCTCTAATTTGTGAGAGAAGGTGGTAAGTAAAACTAGTCTTAGAGTTTCAGCAGCTACTAGGTAAAACTGGTCTTCAGGTTATATAGCAGGTCACCTTGGCAGCTGGCTTTCAATATAATTCCTGGGCAGGCACTTTGTGCCCCAAATGCTTTCTCTTCTCCCTCATTTCTGGACTCTAATTTATCTGGGTATGACAAGATAACTCCAATTCATATAATCAGTTTTCAAGGCTGCTATTCACTGAATGGTGACAGCAATATGGGTGCCTTCAACTGCCCTTCATTCTGTTTTTTGATGAGCTGATAACTGCATATGTGGAAGCTTCCCTAAGAGATAACACCCTGAGACTTTGGTCAACTCTGCAGCCAGAATGAATCTAAAAATATCCCTCCTCTGCACAAAATCCTTCAGTGGCTCCCCATTTCTCTCACAGGAAAAACTGAAGTACTCACAACAGCCTAACAACACCTCTCATGGTCTACCTTCTCTTACCTCAATCTCAGCTACTATGAGTGACTGCCTTGCCTTAGGACCTTCTCACATTCCCACTGCCTGCAACACGTTACCCTCTGCTTGCCGCATGGGCCACTCGCTCACCTCAGTTGTGATCAAATGTCCCCTCCCAGAGGCTACTCTCCCCACCCCACCTAAAATTGCAACACTTTACTTGAATCCCAGTCCCCTGTATGCAGTTCTACCTTTTCCTTTTTCCACAGCACTGATCCTTTTTTTTTTTTTTTTTTTTTGAGACAGTTTTGCTCTTGTTGCCCAAGCTGGAGTGCAAAATGGTGCGACCTCAGCTCACTGCAGCCTTCGCCTCCTGGGTTCAAGCGATTCTCCTGTCTCAGCCTCTGGAGTAGCTGGGATTACAGGCACCCACCACCACACCCGGCTAATTTTTCGTATTTTTAGTAGAGATGGGGTTTCACCATGTTAGCCAGGCTGGTCTCAAACTCCTGACCTCAGGTGATCCACCCACCTCAGCCTCCCAAAGTGCTGGCATTACAGGCGTGAGCCGCAGTGCCCGGCTAGCATTGATCACTTTTTAACACACTACATCATTGACTTATTTATTTTAGGGTTTCTTCTGTTGTTTTTGTTTTTTTGTTTTTGCACGGAGTCTTGCTCTATCGCCCAGCCTGGAGTGCAGTGGCACGATCTCGGCTCATGCAAACTCCACCTCCCAGGTTCACGCCATTCTCCTGCCTCAGCCTCCCGAGTAGCTGGGACTACAGGCGCCCACCACCGCGCCCAGCTAATTTTTTGTATTTTTAGTAGAGATGGGGTTGCACCGTGTTAGCCAGGATGGTCTCGATCTCCTGACCTCGTGATCCGCCAGCCTCAGCCTCCCAAAGTGTTGGGATTACAGGTGTGAGCCACCACACTTGGCTTATTTTAGTTTTTATTGGATCTGTCCTCCCACCAGAATGTCAGTTTCACAGGTTAGGGATCTTTGCTTTGGTAGCGGATATATCCTGAGTCCATGGAACAGCACCTGGCACACAGTAAGTGCTTAATATAGACTTCTAAACAAAAGAAATGGGTTACCACGTGGCCATTTGTTCTTACAGTTGCATATTTGAGTTGTGAACTGTTAGCATTATTAGTCACTGGACTCTTAGCATGACACAAATTATAGAATAGAGTTGGCAGGCAATAAAATTTTTGTGGGATTTAATTGAAATAAGAATTGTAAAAGTCACAGGTGTACTTCACTGTAGCAGCCATCGCTCCTTTCTGACTTGTAATATTTCTGCCCTCTAGTGGTTAGCCTTTTTTGCTAAATTATTATTATTTTTTAATTACACTGTACTGTTAGTTACAGAATCAAATCTCAAGGTTGGAAGGGACTTAAAGGTCAGCCAGTCTCATTAAATGTGGCGCAGAGAGCTAAGCTTCAGGGCATAAAAACAGCCGCATAGCTTTAGAAGTGGCGTCCTATCTTTCAGCTTCTAAATTTACTTTGGCAGAATAGTAATTGTCGCATACCACTGGCCTCGATCCTTGCGCCTCGTTTTCTAGAGATAAGGAAATGGAGATGGAGTGAGGTTATGGCTGTAGGGCAACTGTCTTCATGTTGAGGAGCCATTAAAGTGAACGTAGTAAAAATCCCATCACAGCATAATTGGTGAACATGAGAACTGTAAGAATATTCAGATAGTTCATGGGTTAAACCACATCTCCAAAACAACTGAAGGGAGACAAATCTGGATGGTCCTGGACACTCGTTTCCTCCTTCATTTTGGTAATTTGGCAGAAAACTGGCTCAGCAGGTCCATGTTAGTCAAATAGGCAGAACCACCTCATCGCTATAGATATTTACAGTATTAAGGGCATGGAGATCAGTCTTTATTGGAATGTTGGTCACAGTGCATGTAAACCTCCATGCCTGGCCTCAGCTGAGGGATAATTCGATTCCAGGGATGGCATGCACTCTACTACTTTCTGCTTGTATGTTTTTCCCCTAATAAACCCAAACTTATACCTGTATCACTTAACACAGTGGTGTGTTTTCATGGCCCTTTCTGAGCATTCATAACTGTACCCCAGAAATGTCCTGTTACAGAGAGGAAACATTGGTTCACCTGTCAAAATGGATGGCATATATCTTATGTAGATGTGATAATAGACTTCCAATACTGTCCTGGTATATAGAAACCTCTGGTTACAGCCATAGGTTTCCTAGTGCATATGGGGTCATTTAACAAATAATGATTCCATTGACCACTGATAATTGTCTGACCTCGGCCCTGTCTTCTCCTTTGCATGAATCTTTGATAGTTCTAGTGTCAAAACAGCAGGTACAGTCAGCAGGGTAGAAAAGCAAACGCTATTTTCAGCGAAACTAGAAAACAATATATTGAGTAGGTGAAGAAGTTTCCAAAAGCAGTGGAAACCAAGCAGGGTACGTGTAGGAAAAGGCAGAGAGAGAGAAAAGTCC